TATCTGATATTCATCATTCTGTCAACTTGGTCCATCTCTGAAGGCTAGTGTTATTTTTTTCTTAAAGTATGCAGGTAACCCTGTATATTTAGCATACTTAATTCTGTATGCATACTGTGAGTTTTCCTTCTCTTGACAGAATGAGAATTCACTGCATGAATTGGATTTATGATTGCTTTCCTGCTGAATCTTTGTGTTGGCAATGGTTATAGCTTTAAGGACTTAATGGTAGGGTGAGAACTGTCATCAGAGAACTGATAATTATTCTCAGAAAAAAGTTAAACTCAATTTTAAAAATTTTGAATTGACTTGTAATTAGGCAATACTGCTTCCTATCACCTCCCTAAATCTATCTGATATAGAATGCTTTTCCTTCTCATAAATCGTATGCTCTTTCCTGACTTTGGATAGCTCATTAGAATTCTACCTTGCATAACATTTGAATTAGAAGGCAGTATTCTTTATGCAATTACATTCTGCACTCATTATTCATTATTTTTCCACAGCCCTGTTTATGATATGCTGAGAAGGAATATAACTCTTGCCACTGTTACAGGTAGGTTTCTTCAAGTTCATTCATTTCTTTTTAAAATTAATCTTGGTAAGTAGAAATATGTGAAAGCTTTTTGCTTGAAATGAACTGCTATGAGGATTGGGACTACTGGGATTCTGCAGCCCTTTGCTGACAAAAAATGATAATACGTTGACATATATTGAACTAAAACTAGACCAGGGTCACCATTATGGTGTTGATGGTTATCAGCGTGCCCATGGACACATCCTGTGGTGGTCTCCAGGCTTTCTACCTGTATGGCTTTGTACATTTTTAAAAAGCTTACTTAATGAAATGGGCAGGTAAAATGCTGGAAGGCAAAGTGTCAGCTTTCAGCATCTTTTTAATATTGAAGAATGTCTCTGTGCCCCAGATGGACTCCATAAACTTTAATAGAAAATCAGAATGGAAAATAGTTGCAGTACTGGTTTCAAATTATGTTGAGCGAAAAAGGAGAGAAAAAAAAACAAAAACAAAGAGAAGTAGGAAGCACTATAGGGAGGATAGTAAGTACAGTTGCATGGAGTATTTACATATTTCAGTGTTCTGCATGGCTTTACGTGGCAGATATTATATGCTCCCAAGCCAGTTCAGAAAGGTTTAGGGACCATGTGCTAGGTCTGTAGTGGTGTACTATCAAGGCATTTAGGATATCTTTAACATTAAACACAATGAATACAAAATTCAGTATAACTCAGTGAAATTAGTATGGTTAAGCAATGTGTTTGTGTAATATCTCTTTGGATTTACTCTTTTTGGATCAATCCAAGTGGACAAATTATCTTAATTTGGTGAAAGATTAGGTAGGTCTTAATTGTTAACCCTTATTATTATTATAACCTCCCTATACCTGTTGCTGATTACTTGTGGATTTTCTGTAGGGCTAGGAAAAGGGCTGATGAAGTATCTAATTCAATCATATCGTCTTGGTAGGTGATTGTAACAAAACATGTTGAGTTTTCTTCTTTCTTTCTGGTCTTGATGGCAAGGTCTTAATTTCTTTTCCTCTTCCAGAATCTTGGGGGGAAATAGCCATTGCTGCTTAAACGTTAGTCCTGGTAGATGACAGATTTCATATTTTATCAAAAAGCTGACTGTATTGATGTCATAGAGCCTGAATGTTGAAATGTGATATTCCTCTCTGCTTTAGTGGTGAATGTTTGTCTTGTTATTTAGTTTTTTATAGAAAAACCCATAAAACAATCATAGAAACTATTTTTGTCGGACTATGATGAGGAAAAAGAAGCTACCCAAAATAGCTGTTTATTCAACATTATTTTTTGTAATAGCAGTTGTATTCACTCTATTAGCAATCACATCTAGTCTGTTCCTAATTTTTAACATAATGTTGATATGTAGTTTTGAAATTGAAAGAAAAAATTACCAAAGAGCTTTATCTATGTACTCTGCTGAAGCTTTCTGTATGTACAGTGGGGCAAAAAAGTATTTAATCAGCCACCAATTGTGCAAGTTCTCCCACTTAAAAAGATGAGAGAGGCTTCTGTAAGTCTTCACAAGGTTTTCACACACTGTTGCTGGTATTTTGGCCCATTCCTCCATGCAGATCTCCTCTAGAGCAGTGATGTTTTGGGGCTGTCGCGTTCTTATAAAATTACAGCACAGGGATGTACCTAAAGATCATCCAGACTAACCCTCTGACAGTGTAGGAAATATAGTCCTACTATAACTCAATAAATGGCTTAAAATATGTTCTTATAAAATTACAGCACAGGGATGTACCTAAAGATCATCCAGACTAACCCTCTGACAGTGTAGGAAATATAGTCCTACTATAACTCAATAAATGGCTTAAAATATGTTCTTATAAAATTACAGCACAGGGATGTACCTAAAGATCATCCAGACTAACCCTCTGACAGTGTAGGAAATATAGTCCTACTATAACTCAATAAATGGCTTAAAATATGTTCTTATAAAATTACAGCACAGGGATGTACCTAAAGATCATCCAGACTAACCCTCTGACAGTGTAGGAAATATAGTCCTACTATAACTCAATAAATGGCTTAAAATATGTTCTTATAAAATTACAGCACAGGGATGTACCTAAAGATCATCCAGACTAACCCTCTGACAGTGTAGGAAATATAGTCCTACTATAACTCAATAAATGGCTTAAAATATGTTCTTATAAAATTACAGCACAGGGATGTACCTAAAGATCATCCAGACTAACCCTCTGACAGTGTAGGAAATATAGTCCTACTATAACTCAATAAATGGCTTAAAATATGGCCTCTCTCATCTTTTTAAGTGGGAGAACTTGCACAATTGGTGGCTGACTAAATACTTTTTTGCCCCACTGTATTGTGTGTAAAGTGGCAGCCCAAACAATCCTTTTGAGGTACAGAAAATGGGTTTGTGAACATGCATAACATTTTCATGATAAAGGAAACAAAAGCTGTTTATTTTGCTTTTAATATTTTAAGCCATTTATTGAGTTATAGTAGGACTATATTTCCTACACTGTCAGAGGGTTAGTCTGGATGATCTTTAGGTACATCCCTGTGCTGTAATTTTATAAGAACATTAAATGCCTTTTTTGAATATAAACATACTATTGGCTTTTAGTAGGCATATGCAAGACCTACCACCATGGGAATGGAACATTCTGGAGAACTGCAGAATTTTTCTGTTTCTTCTCTAGTCCCCATCAATGTGGCCGTTCTGAGGGTAGTCTGACCCTTTTACTGAAGTTAATAGTTTGAATCACAAACAGCTACTGGCATTCCAGACAAAATCAGGGCTGCACCTTAACCAGAGCAGCACAAACTCTTTCCATTTCAGAAAAGAGTCAGACCTCACCTAGAATAACCAAAAGAAATACAGAATGTATGTACAAATATGGATTTTGGTATATTTCTTAACCTTTCTTTAGTTAGAATTGGTTGATTTACCATTAGCCTGATTTGAGTGGATGATGTCTGTTAACATCTCCACTAAGTCTGTAGAATTAATCCAGTGCTGTGGACTAGTATGGATTTCAAACAGGAATTCAGGTAGCCCTTGCTTGCCAACCACAACTGGGACCGGCAGTTCTGTCACTAAGTGCCACAGTCGCTAAGCAGAAATCACGTGACCATGCTGTATATCACTTCTGCTTCTGTTGTTAAGGAGATCATTGCAGTCATTAAGTGAGACATTGTGTGGCCGCGACTTGTGATTTCACTTCCACATTCTCCATTAATTCGGCTTGTTGGAAGCCGGTTGTGAAACTCACAAATGGCGATCACGTGACCGCAGGACACTGCAATGGCCATAAATGCGAGGATTGGTCACAAAGCTGTTTTTTCCCCCAACCGTTGTAACTTCAACAGGTCGCTAAACAAAGCAGTTGGTAAGTGAGGACTACCTGTATTGTACTGCTGACCTTGCTCTGTAGAAATTAGTATAATATCAAGGATAGTGGATTTCATGTTTGTTTATATGTGATTATTTGATTGGCTGCCTGAATGGGTGATTTAGCACATTAATTTTAAAAGCTAAAAATGAAATAAATTCTATTCTGGCAAGATATAAGATTGACATACAAAATTCAAAACTGAACTGCATAGAAAAATAAAATGCAACATTGTATCTGAAGATGCTTTCCCTAAAACAGTCAGAACAATTGCGCATTATCTTTTAATTAGGAAGTATATACAAGCAATCACTGTAACTAGTTTTGCATTGTGCATTGTAAAATTACTCTTAGTACAAGCTTTATAATATATATATGGATGCAGAAATACTCTTCATTTATGTTGCCCTTCAGCCACTGAAGGGTCCCTCCACTTCAGGGAACATGCTACCATGGAGATCTCCAATCTCTGTAAAAAGTAACTATTATAAATAGCTCTTTATTCTCAGGTTAAGGGTCATCCTAATTTCTTGCTGAGGTGCCTATTTCTGGCTAGAACTGAATTCTTGTGTGTAGTCTCAGTGTATTTTGCAGAAGATTCTGTGTTTCAATGTGATCCTTCCTTGTTTTTGATCTGATACCAGTTTTTTCTGTTTTGAGAATCATTTTGAGGTAAATACACAAAGTTACAGCAGGGTTCATACACCTTTTCCCCCCTCTAGAGTGTAGAGCAGAGAACACATTTTTCTGTTTTCGGGGGTGCTTGCTGGCAGTGGATGAGATTAGAGCTGTAAGCGAGTGAGGCTACCTCCCTTCTCCCCCTGCCCCAATTGGTGTAAAGGGGAAGAGGCAGATAATTCTCACCAGAATCAGTTGTTTTTACAGGGTTTCTGAATTTAGTCTGAAGGTTACAGTATGTCTGCTGCTGTTTTGTATGGTTAGTGAATGTGACTATTTAAAAACTTCTGGCTTCTCCCTTACTCTTTATCATTTTCCATGACACACAAGTATGTGACTTCAGAATTGGATTGGAATCTAGCTTAGAAGTTTTCTCATTATGCTTGTTCTTCTGAATGCCATAGAATCCATAACAATGTTGAGAGGCAAATAGACATGATGTTAGTAACATAGTTTATCACTGCATCTAAAAAAAAAAAAAAATAGCCAGAATGAGAGCCGTATCAGGATCATAGCAAAAGGGAAAAAGGCATTAATTCTTTGCCTTCACTGCAAGTCCCATCTAGTCACATCCAGTGTATCTGCATATTGATAAGGAAGGTACATTGTATTGGCACTAATGGGCACCTCCTAATATTGCAAATTGCAGGGATGGTAGAGATACTCATTGGGTTAAAGTGAACTGACCATATTCTGATCCTGATCCAGCTATGCACTGGCTTTTCTTTAAAAAATAATGGAATTAGGACAAATATCATGTCTATTATGTCTGTTATTCTTTCTGAAGGTGCTAGAGGGTAGTAACTAAGGAAATTAAGATTTGGGGGATAAAGAGTTGGATGTATCAGCTCATCCTTCATGTGTGAGTGAGCTTAAAAGTAGAACAACATTGGGTGAGAAGACCGTGCTGTCACCTTTAGCCATTCCAAGCCCATAGTTCCAGAACTTGGTATGTTTGCTTGACAAGGGCTCCCTCTGTATTGTGAGAATGGTTATTACCAGGGAAGGTTTTTTCTTTCTTTACCTGCTGTCTAGATGCTGCACAGACACTTGCTTTCGCAAAGGATCAGAGCGAGGATAATCCAAGCGAGGATCAGCTGAAGGTAAACCCATTGCTGGGTGGTTTCTTTTGTCGTACAGAGTGCCCCTTCTCTGTACCTGTGCAAAGTGGATTGCCAGAACTTCTGACTTGCTTACTGGTGAGCTTTTGCCTTCCTCAAAAGTTCCTGGGAATCCACAGACCAGGGACAGAGTTCTCATTCTCTGTTCTCTACCTACAGAGTTCCATTCTCTGAACATGTTCTCTGGGGTGTAGCATTTCTTATCCTTAGTCATACCAGCTTTCATTGTTATATTCCTGGGTGGGAGTTTTCTTTTAACAGGGACTGATATAGATATTAATAGTATTATTTCATGAAAACTTTTAATACCTGGAAAACCTTAGAAGAATCACAATGTTTCTCATACTATTGTTGAATTAGTACTGTCCATCTTGAGAGAAAGCTACCTAATTTGAGACAGAAATAACAAGCTTGATGTCATTCAGTTGCAGCTTTTTGGAAACATTTATTTTATTTTGGCTGCATTGTAATGTTATATATATACATTACACACGCTCACAAACACAAATTTAAGGATAGGCAACCTGGTATCTTCCAAATGTTTAGGGCTACAACTCCCATGAGCGTTGTAGTGAAAAACATACAAAACTACCAGGTTGCATATCCACAGCTACTTGATCTTTAGCAAAGGTCTTGGTCAGTTAATAAATGTAATTTTTGTGTGGTCAATAAACTCTTATTTCTACTGTAACTCTGGTGGTATTCCAACTGTATGTGACTTGCTCTTAAGCTGGTGACTAAGAAAGGAAGTGTTACATCCCTGTGCTTCTCCCATAGATCTTGGCTAATAGTTATTTTTCCTTTTTCCTTTAAGCAGAATACCACAGAGAGAAGTTTTAGCACTGAACAAGAAGATCATGAAGGTGATGTATCTGCCTTAACAGCCTTAAAGCACACATGCAAAGAGAAAGAAGGTGAATATGATCTCTCAGTTAGACAGGATTAGATTGCTTTGACTTTTGGACTAATTATTTATCTAGTGGATCTTGTAGAATATGAACATACAGTTCTTATGTTCTTGTTGTTGTTGAAGCTGTGAGACCCATGTGGTTTTCCTTTATATTTTTACTATGTATTTCATCTTAAAACAGATACTCCAAAGTATCTGTTAAATAAAATAAAACATTTTATTCCTCTCTCACGTGTACACACACACATACACACACACATGCATTAGGTAAGCGTTCAAGTACTCAGTTTGTGAAAGTTGCACACATAAAGAAAATGTCAAAGGGGAATGCTGTTTTCAAAGCTGTTCCATATAACTTTTAGAACAGTCTTACAATGCTATAAAGGTAGTGATAGCTTCTTAAGATAGCTTCCTACTACAAATTTATTAATTTGTTATAAAAGCTCTTGTTAGTAATTTCTCAAGTTAGTCTTAAACTCTGTTATTAAATATTATACAATATGTGAACAGAAGTAAATTTCCTAAACGTACAACACAAAAAGCTTTTTGCTTATAATGTTATGTTGGGGGAATAGAAATATATAACTCAGACAGATGGATATACAGTCAGGTCCAGAAATATTGGGACATCGACACAATTCTAACATCTTTGGCT